TAACATTTGAACTGTATTAATTTCAGCCGTCTATAATGCAGGTATCCAGACCAGTGAAGACTACAGGTTTTATGCCATCTCTGCAGAGTTTCCTGAATTCAGCAACAAGGATAAAACCTTAGTGTTTCAGTTCTCCGTCAAACATGAACAGAAGCTCGACTGTGGTGGTGGATACATGAAATTGCTCAGTGGTGAAGTAGATCAGAAGAAATTCGGTGGTGATAGTCCATACAGGTTACGAAACAGATGCTATTTTCATCTTGAACTTTTTCTATTTAACCTTCTATCTCTGCTTAAGATGCTGATTAGTTCTATTTTATGGTTGTCTACAGCATCATGTTTGGACCAGATATTTGTGGTTACAGCACCAAGAAAGTCCATGCAATTCTCACATACAATGGTACAAATCATCTGATCAAGAAAGAAGTCCCATGTGAGACTGACCAACTAACTCATGTCTATACTTTTATCCTTCGGCCTGATGCTACTTACAGCATTCTCATAGACAATGTGGAGAAGCAGTCTGGTAGCTTGTACTCAGATTGGGATCTTCTCCCACCAAAGAAGATCAAGGATCCTGAAGCAAAGAAGGTAAATTCCGTGCATTTATAAGAAATTCATTTCAATTTATGTATGCCTGTTAGCTAGTTATGTTTAATAATATATCATTTGCATGTTGATGACAGCCCGAAGATTGGGATGATAAGGAATACATTCCTGACCCTGAAGACAAGAAGCCAGAGGTAAACAAAACTAAAAAAAATTTGTCCTCCATGGTTATTTTAAAATGTAAAATATCATAAGAGCTCCATTTTATATTGATTTGATAACTAATTCATATATTTTCTCTTTCTGAAGGGTTATGATGACATCCCAAAAGAGATTCCAGATCCTGATGCCAAAAAGGTAACCAATGCAACTTTCAGTTTATTTTTTCCCTTGCAATACCATGTATCAAAGTCTACTTACTATATACTTTAATACTTACCCAAGTAAGATGTTTTGCTACTGCAGCCTGAGGACTGGGACGATGAGGAGGATGGTGAGTGGACTGCACCAACTATTCCCAACCCTGAGTACAAGGGCCCATGGAAGCCAAAGGTTTGCGGACTCTAAATTTTGGTTCACTGACATTAATGAATTTGACAGCTTACAACTAACTTTGGCCATTCATCAGAAACTCAAGAACCCCAACTACAAAGGCAAATGGAAAGCACCAATGATTGATAACCCTGGTACTTAGTTTCTCTTTTCAGCAATTTTTTTTTTGCATCTCATTAGCACCATGAAGTATTAAATGTGACAAATTTTGAATGTTGTCATTACAGACTTCATAGATGACCCAGACCTCTATGTATACCCAAATTTGAAGTATGTAGGAGTTGAGTTGTGGCAGGTAAAAGAAATATCTTGTCTTTGATGTATGTTTTTGTTTCAACTTTCAATTAAACAACTTACAATTAGCTGAGCAATTATACACGCTTTTAAGGTGAAATCTGGAACCTTGTTCGACAATGTCTTGGTATGTGATGATCCTGAGTATGCTAAGCAGCTAACCGAAGAAACATGGGGCAAGCAAAAAGATGTACGTGGAATTTGTTTATGAAAGCTTCTACTCTTCCACCTTTTCTCAAAATGCACTGTTTCCCACCAAGGAAAGGAAACAATTATCTGCTTATTAACATGAGAATTATATTGATTCTGCAGGCTGAGAAGGCTGCATTTGATGAGGCAGAAAAGAATAGAGAGGAGGAGGTATCGTTTTGCTTACTTGTTATGATTGAATATGCTGTTGTTGAGTGGAATCCTTTTTATTTCTCCGGTACATTTTATTAGCAAGTTACCTGAGGATGGAAGTTGTTCCATAAACAATCTTTTTTCTGGCTCGCACGATTCTTAATGTTTCTCTTTTTCAAATTCAGGAATCAAAGGACGATCCAGTTGATTCTGATGTAAGTTTCCTCGAGTCCTTTTTTCCCCCAAAGACTAGAATGTTCTTTTCTTTTTCCTTGCATCCTGATCTGCGGTCCTTTCCATTTCCTGTTTCCAGGCTGAGGATGGAGAAGATGATGCAGAAGGCAATGAGACCGATGATGACTCCAAAACAGACTCAACGGAAGATGAAGCCGCCTCAGTGGACGATGATGTACATGTAAGAGTTTCTTCAGTTTTGTCACTTCAAAATTCACTGATCACATTTTGCTTGTTGCTAATTTCACTTGTGCTTCTATTTTGCAGGATGAACTGTAAGGTGCTTATGTACGGTTATTTTCTGCCCACAACAGGCCTTCACAATGAGTTGCTAATCACTCAAAAGAGTTTTTTCCATTTCTACTTATATTTTTTGGCTGTAGCTTTTGTTTTAGGGAAAAAAAAAGAAACAGTTGGAGGCTGCATGAAATATTTGTGGCTTAACTGCTTTGATTATTCGTGACTCAGACATTAAAACTAAAAGAGAAACATGTTTTGTTTTATTTTAGATTTATGAAATAGTCAGAAATTGAGAATATATCTAGCTGTTCGTTTGCAAGTCTAATTATGTTTTATGTATTTTAGCACAAGCAACAGAGAGAATACGTTACCTCTTTAAATTCAGATGCTACTTTATGATTATTCATGTTCTATATGCAAAATATTAAATCGTACTAAAATGTACAACACTCAATTTTTAGTTCTTATTGAGAGCATCAGTTTGAATGTATCCTATAATATTTGAAACTTGGCAAGTTTAAGGAACATGATAGTAGGCTTATTATTTTCCCAGAATATTGATAATAGTAAAGTACTGTATCTTATTCTCAACAAATTTGAGATTAGTTACATAATATTGGAAAATCTTTGGGAAATTCGTAGTTTGAAACCCAAAGCCCTGTTTGACAAAGCCTTTTGAGATTATAAGCTACAGCAAGAACTCTCCCAAGTGCGAAAACGAGGGTGACATAAATGAATAGTAATGGGCAGAGTGGCTCTTATAAGAGAGAGTAGAATATATTTGTTGGTAATGTTTGTGTGGAACATTGCATAAATTGGTTTGGGATTGTTGAACCAGTTAAGCTACAGTAGGAACTCCCCCAAGTGTGAAAACGAGGGTGACATAAATGAATAGTAATTGGCAAAGTGGTTCTTATAAGAGAGAGTAGGATAAGAATTTATTTTTTTAACCCGCTTATAATCTCAAAAATGTTTAGTCGAACGGGGGCTTGATAAATTAGCCTACAAGTAGGTTGGGAGGTGTTTGGCAACACTATGAAATGGACCTTTGATTGTTGAAGTTCGTCGAAGTTATGACCCTAAGCTCTATTGGACTTGTAGCAGAATTATTAAGAAGCCTAAGTAAATTTTGGCGGCTTTATGATATTAAGGTACTGTTTAGCCTACAAAATTGGTGAGTATTGTCAAGTTTATTCAATTCAAAACATAACGCAGTATTGAACGTAATTAACAAGATTTTAATTTTTTTTCCTTCTATATTTACTGTTTATTTATACTATAGCAAACAAAATATAGTCGTACTAAGCACATCCTTAAGACCTTAATATTCTATGAGGATTGCACGACCACGTAATGTGGTGTATATGTTTAAATAAAGAGTAAATTAGATTTTCCTATTAAAACAACACTAGAAAATCACTTATTTTGTGGTACATGGAAAAACAAAATTAATAATAATAATAATAATAATAATAATAATAATAATAATAATTTGGGCTGATAATAAACGATGACAACCATGTCATGTTTTGCAAAATATGTATTATCGTTGGACACAATTTAGCACACTCAATATAAACGACGAGAAATTACCAGCGATTTTTTATATTTTATCACTACGACGTGTTGTAGACATCTACTAATGTTAGTTTGATAGAAAGTGATCAATTGAGAATTTGATATAAAGATATGTTGGGAAATTTGGGCCTCCCCCAGCTGAGATTAATCCAGAATTACAAAGAAGAAAATACACCAGCAATTGCAGAACCAGAAGCACAGAAGAAACAGATGCACATATTTAAACAGGAAGAAAATCATCTACATCAAGCCTTTATTAACCAAAACTTAGCATGATTTCCTTAACCAGAAATCATNTTTTATTAACCAAGATTCAACATGATTTCCTTAACCAGAAATCATAAAGAAATTTACATGATTTTCTTTACAATAAATCATCAGAAAGATTTTCTAGATTTACAAGAGTTTTACTACTCTATCTTATCACACTTTCTCCTACAGAGATATTACATCCTCTCTCTCTTTCAAGCTCTCATCATTCATGCATTTTCGAGCACCGTCTTTCTCCTATCTAAGGTTCCTATTTATAGACCTAAATGGAGCATCTAATCAGTTAAAAACTAACCAACTAACATAGGCTCCACTTGGTTATAGATTCCAACAAAAAAAAACTAAAATGAGGCTCCTCCTTCAACTGATTTTTATTCCAACAGCTTTTTGTAAAAGCTAAGGTTGTCCAATTCTTTTTCAAGAATCAATTT